CTTATGTATGGTTATGAAAGCAGCAACTGGACATCACCATCCTGGTCTTCTCCACATTGGTTTCCCTATGTCCCTCCTGTACCAACTTCATATTTAGATCCAGATAGGCCACTTAGTCATCAGCATCAGAGGCCATATGATGTTAAGCTCTTAAACGATCGCATCAAAAAATGTCGTGGATGTGGTGGTGACTTTGTACGTAAAGCTGATGGATCACTACCTGATCCACCAATGAATTTAGTTACTTGTCATGAAGAAACAAGGCCTTTTTGGGATGATACTAACGCAATATGTCAAAGTAAACTATAAAATGTTTATTACCATGCAAATGTCCAGTGTATTAAAAGGCAAAATGCATCTTCTGTTGGATCAGATATATTTGTAAAAAATATTGATCTCACAGCAATTTACAAGCTATATCTTAATGAGTACTTCCAGTGAAAAGGAGAATGTTAAATTTTGAGTGAGAAATCCATTCCTTAACTTTGTTTCATTGTGTACAATCTGATTGCATGTACTCATTGCTTATGAACTTTCATTCGAAATTGTTTTCATTATCTTAATTTACTAAACAGGTTTCATTAAATGAAAGTATTGTTGCTACCATATTCAAAAATGGGATTTCTTGTCTCAATTGGGACTGTACATTCCTGTTCTTCAGCAGATTCACTACAAAATTAATTATGAGTATAAGACTTAAATGGTGTCAGAACATAGTAACGCTTATGTAGCTTGCTCGAAGTATTTTCTATGCATCTTCACAGCTGCTGTAACTAGACTAAAAATTTATAGGAGAATTATAGACATTGTAATAAAAATCAACCTACCAATGGGAGTGGCTTCTTTAACAATGATAGTTAATGATAAATTAATTATCTATTTCTAATAAAAAAATTGATGTTTCGTTGTTTCTTTCCGCTTCTGGTTTTGTTCCTACTTATACTACTACCCCTCTGGAGACAGGCTGTCAACTAATAACTTAGCCGATCAGGTGGACGAACAGCAGATCCAGTTCTGAATCTAGTCGTGAATTGATAGCTTTTCTCTTGAGGTTCTTGGCCTGGTGTTTGATTAGGGGCAGGATTAAGATAATACCGATAATGTTTCAGTCTGAACTTCATTAGATCTATGACTCTCATTTCATGATAGGACTCGACCTTGTGCCCATTGGCCTCTAGTATCAACTGAAACAGGTGAGTCATCACCCATGGGTGGCAATGGATGAGCTTTATGATGTCGATCAAAATCAACCTTTTGTTAAAGTTTGTAATTAGCATTACATTCTTGAACTTTTTTCGGATAATCCCAATTAGGAACCAATTCTTCGGAAGATTGGATCTGATGTGACGTCCCATTCATAATTCTGACCATTAATAATTCTGACACCATGATAATGGCATTGATCGATAAGTGAGAAGAGCCATAAATGTATCTTGTGTTTTCCCTATCATTTTGACTGTCTGATGGTCCATTCAGCCAATCCATTGCTCTGTGGAAAGTGTTGGCTTCTGGTAATATGCCTAAGAATGTAATCGACTGGGAGAAATCAGCTAACTCTTGAGAATCAAACTGAGGCCCAATGTCACTGCGTAATTTTTCTGGTGTCCGATGACGTAAAATTACCTTTTTGAGTGCTTCAATTACTTCTTGAGATGTAGTATTTGTGAGTCGAGCTATTTCTGGATGGCGAGAAAAGTAGTCAACAACCACGAGGTATTACCTCCCATTGAAAAAAAAGAGATCATGACTTACCAATTGCCATGGGTACTCTGGTAACTTTATTGGCATTAAAGGTTCAAACTTACGAGTAAAACTTTGGAACATTCTTCACATCTTACTCTATCTGCAATCTTCTTTGACAAACCAGGCCACCATACTTCCCGCTTAGCTCTTAATCGACACCTCTCAATGCCTTGGTGTATCTTTTCTAGTACTTGATTTTGCATACTAGTAGGTAACAATACAGTTGCTGTACAGTAATAGCTCTTTTCCAACTGTAAACCTTGCTTGATGTTCCCAATATGGTATTAAAGCAGGATCTAACTTAGACTTCCATAGTACTTCATTATGGTAGAGCAGATGACATACTCTTCTTGTTTCTTTCTGTACTCATCCAATTTGTCTTCTCCTGTAGGTAAGTTAGCTATAACTGCTCCTATCATTTCTTCAGTTCACACGTCTTCTTGTCTTCTAGTTGTCTTCAGTGGTGCGACAGCGTATCTTGTATATACAAAGTTTTCCCTGGTGTGTTCAGTGGAATACTGGAATCTTGTTAATCGCAATCAAATTCTCAGAGGTAAGCTGTTGACCTGCTTGGATCCCAATAATAGAATTAGAGGCTTGTGATCAGTATGTATGAGAAATGGATGCCCAAAACATATGTTGAAAACTTCTCACAGGCCTATGTGATGGACAATGCCTCCTTTTTAATCTGTCGTTCTGTCTCAGTAAGGGATTGAGAAGCAAAAGCAACTGGTTTCTATTCAGCTGTTGAGTTTAGTCTTTGTAGGAGAACTGCCCCTTGACCATAAGATGAGGCATCTGCAGTGATCTTTGTCTCCCCTTTCAAATCATATAAGCTAAGAACTGTACTTTTTGTGATCTCTTCCTTGATTGCTGCAAATGCTGCTCTCTCTCATGTGCCCCAAGTCCACAATTACTCTTTTTTATTAGATCTCTGGGAGGTTGAGAAAGAGTTGCAAACTTTGGAGAAAATTTACCCAACTAGTTGACCATCCCCAGGAATGTCAGCATCTCGGGTGGTTGCACTTTTTGAATGGCATCTTTTTATCAGGATCTGGGTAAATTCCCTTTTGGTCAAGAACATAATCCCAGAAAGTTGAAGAGTTCCTTGAGAATTCACATTTCTGAGGAATCACATTTCTGACGTGACTCTTTTTTCTCGAAGTTGTTCCAGTACATGCAATAACTTCTTATTGTGTTCCTCTTGATTTTCTCAATAGATCAACACATCATCAATGAAACATAAACATCCTTCGAGCCCTTCCAACAATTTTTGTCATTTGTTTATGGAACAAATCTGGGGCACTTTTAATTCGAAATGGGAGGTTGTTGAAGCAGTATCTACCAATTGGTGTCAAAAATGTTGTCAGAAGTCTTGACTCAGGAGCTAAAGGAATTTGCCAAAATCCAGAGTTGGCATCTAATTTACTATATATTGTAACCCATGCCAACTGAGCTAAGAAATTGTCTACCTTAGGGAGTGGGTAAACTTAATGACGGATACATTTATTCAAACATTGAAGATCAATACAAATGCGCATAGATCCATTCTTCTTTTGTATGGCAACCATTCCAGAAAGCCATGCTGTAGGCTCCTCTACCAGAGAAATTACTCCCAGATCTTCCATTCTCTGTAATTCCTTCTTAACTTTACTGCGATACTGAAGGGGTATCTGTCATGGTGTGTAGATTGCACATGGTTGGGCAATAGGCTTTAGCTGGATGACATTTTTCTCCAATTGTGCCTAATCCCTCAATTACTTCAAGGTACTTCTTAATCCAATTAATTTGATCATATATCAGATTGACTCTGCACGCCAGCTCCATTTAAGTGATTGCTGCAAGTCCCAAAAGACTTGTTTGCAGTCCTTTAACTACAAAAATCGTCTCCAAAAATTCGTTTGAATTGTGCAAGAACTTTCAATGAGTGTTTGGCTGGACCATTTAAAGATTTTGATGGAGCATGTAAAGTTGGTGATCCTATTTGACAATAGACCACCACCTCTGAGATTGCTGTGACCTCAGCCCCTTCATCAATTTCAAACTCGTCATGGACTCATTTAGTACTATTTTTACCCTCCATTGTTGAGACCAAGAGATCTGCTCAGTAATTGCGTCTAAGAACACTGATTCTATGTCAGCATCCTTATTTTTATCATCAACTTTCTTTCCAACTGTTATTTCTTGCGTTAATTTAGTAAAACACAGTGAGCTGTAATGACCTCTTTTGCCACAACAATGACATTTGACAACCTTTGCTGGACATTGGTCTCCAGTCTTGTGTGAACTTCTGCAACATTGAGTACACTTATGTTTCAAGGGAATCTTTTCTTGTTTTGTGTGACCAGATGAGCCTTTAAAGTTTTGAGTTGTCCTCTTTGATGAGCCTTGTAGATGATACTTTGCCTTTCCGACCTCATCAACTCCTGTTTTCCCATTTGACAGTTCTTTCTGCTGCTTTTTTTCTGATTCTTGTTGTCTAACAGCCTTCTTTGCTTTCTTTTAAGTTTAACTTTGAATCAAGTTGAAGACTTTCTCATAAACTGATGTTTTTGATTCCCACTAAAAGGTGATCATGAATTTTTCTGATTTCATTTCTGCATAATTGTAATCCTCAGCTGACTTGTACAGAGCCACATGTACTTTCTGCTGACACTGTTGGTGCTTGGTTTCGTCTATTGAAACGAGCTCTTTAAAAAACCACATCTTTTGTCACCCCAAAAAGTCTGTCAAAATTTTGAGATGAGTGTCATATGTCTCCTCATCCTCAGTGTCATCGTGTGGGTTAGAAGCGAGTACTGAGTCTGACTTGTCTCCCAACTAATACAGCAACATGCTAATTTGTTTATCCGCACCCGCTGTATTATAACTATGCGCATTTTAAAAGCGTTCAAATTGTCTTTCCACTTTGGCCACTCATCAGGCTTTTGGAAATTCAAAGGTTCAGGAGGAGTTAACTGAATTTGAGCCATGTCTCAAGCAAAACACCGCTGCCACCATGTAATGATATTTGCATAGATGATTGCAGACTCAATCTTATTAAATAAAAAATCAGCTTCTATATAGATTACAAAAGATCGAGATAAATCTAGAATGGAACATTCTAGTTACATATGATAGAGAACGTTCTAGGGATAACTGGATACATATAGTCATTGATACATACACAATGGCATATAGATATGCATAAAGATAAACAAGGAATGTTCTAGAAATAACTACATTGTCATTAATAATAATAATAATGTAATCCTGCTGATACTTCCTTGAGAGACACCTGAAGTAACCCGGAGAGTATTAAAATGGCACAATTGATGAATACACACTGAGTCCTGGAGGAAAAATAGCTCTTAAACCATTCTCATGGCTCACAATTGATCCTGATAAAATAGAGCTTAACCAACAATTTATCATGGGAAGCACTTTTAAACGCTTTGCTCTAATCAAGATAGATGAATCGGTCTGTATCTTGTCATCAATGATGTGAAAAATGTCAGACAGGAACATGTCCAGAAATGCTGGGACACGGAAAAGATATTATTAGTATATTTCAACATATTTATAAATGACCATTCATAGCAATACGAAGGGAGCTGTATTTTTTGTCCATTTTTAATGATAAACGTAACATCATATGACACCTGTTTCTACTTTGTAGGTTGGCTAAAGAAATGTAGTTAAACCGTGGAACTTTCGTCACAAAGAAGACTTTGACGCCGCCATTTTACATTGACATATTAGTGTGTTTACAACACTTATCATTTGTAACTAATTGTAACAGAGTATTGTAAAATAGATTTCCTTTGTTTCACTTTGCCCTTTTAAATAGATCTTCTAAGCTACAATATGGTATAAAAAAATTGACAGTTATGTAAAAAAAAGTGTGGATTTACCTGTTCAAAGTAGCAAAAATTTTTAACTGTCCCATTGCAGTCTTGCATTATCTACATTGCAGCTGTGAAATGATAATGTCCTCTGTCTTAATAATATATACAAAGCTACTAATGCTAATGATGTTTGCTATTGTCTTTATACTGAATAAGTTCCTCTACCAGAGGTATGCAGCACACTTAGCCAATTCAGCTACAACTATGGTCAGCAAGCTAAATAAGCAACTGGTAGGAGTCTCATTGCTAAGCTCGTTAGAGAAGAAATTGAAGATGAAAGGAGCACGATTAACTACAAATATAAAACATAGATACAGACAGAAAGAAAATATTGAGTCAATCCACATTAATGGATGTGCTTACATCTGACATTGTTAATCCTGAGGAAGCCGTTAAGGTCTTAAGGTAAGGAATTGAGTGTATATAGCAACTTTG